TCACGACTTGTTATTTGGGGGGCCGCAAGCTGTTAGGGAACCCCTGGTATATAGTAATAATCACAATCACCTCAGAGTAAGAAGGTCGCTGGTTCGAGCGCCAGCCGGGTCAGTTGGCATTTCAGTGTAGAGTTTGCATGTTCTCCCAGTGTTCGTGTGGGTTTCCTCTTGGTGCTCCGGTTTCCCCCACAGTCCAAAATCATGTGGTGTAGGTGAACTGAATAAGCAACATTTTCTGTAGTGTATGTGTGTGAATGAATACGTATGGATGTTTCCCAGTGATGGGTTGCAACTTTCGACCCACGGCTCTCAATGACATTTGGTTTTTGGCCCTCTAAAAAAATTTGCCCACCCCGGGTCTATATTTATGCTCTAGGACATGATGGCCTAAACAACAGCGTACTGCAGGACCATAAGTGTGCAAGTACCACCCATTAGTTTGCCATAATATAGCTTTTTATTTGGTGGATCTATTTAAAACAATCAAAAACATTGGATTATATACATGAAACTTCAAATGCAAAGCCTCCCTTCTTTTCTTTAGTACATCATTGTCATGTAAATGTACTCAAAACTTGAATAATGTGAACTGCAATTCATATAAATGCAATGTTTTAAGTAGCAAAGCCCAGAGAAAACTTTGAATGCTAGTTTGAACGCTTTGAAAGTGCAAAAAGCCTCAGACAATGTTGACCAAGCTTTTACGTTTAATGCAAGTGGAATTAGTTCTGTTTAGACTTCTTTCTCGTCCCGTTTCACTGCTTTTCCATTTGTTTTCTCCTAATATTTCTCTCCTGCTTTCTCCAGACCTATTTTCATTACTTAACTCTCTCTCTCCTTCTTTCATTCATAGCTTCACTCCCTCTGTTATTAGACGACTTTCTCCCTCTGTCTCGCCTGTCTGCGGCATGTTGCACCACACACACACACACACACACAGAGCTGGATGCAGACTGACAGTGCTGCCACAGGACTGATTGAAACTCGTGTCTCAAAGTTGCTAATGCTCACTGAACCATTTTATTGAAGATAAAGTAAATAAAATAGGTCGCCTTATGAGAATTCACTGCACTAGACTAGAACGATCCAGAAAACACACTCGCACACACGGTGCGCAGACGCTCCTCTGATTGGTTCATAGATTCCAGGCGAACGGCTGGGATGAGCTGTTTTCTAGAGGTATAGGAAGGCTAGGAATTTCACAAGTTCAATGTTTTTTGAGAGGCCTGGGAGAAAGCAAACGGCTTAATTTAAACTTGTTTCTTGGGAATGGCTTTTATAAATGTCCTGAAAGTAGACCTGAGAGGCATTCCTGTCAGGTAATGCAATCCAGTGTTTGCTTTGTGTTAAGCTTTTTGTTTTCATGAAAGGCACAGAGATGTTTTAGATATTTTAAGCTGCCCACAGATGGATTTTTACCATTTAGTGTTGTTTTATACCTTCTTAAGGTAAATTCATTTAATTATTTTCAGCTTAGTTGCTTTATGAATCAGGGGTCACCACAGAGGAATGCCCTTTAGCTGCAACCCAACACTGGGAAACATCCATACACTCTTATTCACACACATACACTACGGACAATTTAGCTTATCCAATTCACATATCCTTTGAGGAAACCTACGAGAGGCATAGAGAGAACATGCAAACTCCACACAGAAATATTAACTGGCCCAGTCTGGACTCAAACCAGTGATCTACTTTCTGTGGGACCACCGTGCTGCCCTTAATTTTTTTGTTCATTATTTTTAGTTTATTCCATTTTGCTTTACTATATTTGCATCTACTTCCGTTGTAATTTTATTTTAATTTAACCTGGATGTAAATTTTTTTTGGCAGCAAAGATCATTATGGGGACAAATACAACCTTGATTGTACAGAATGTTTTGTTAAAGTTTGGGAGAAAAAAAAAAAAAAAGAAAAAGAAAAAAAAAATATATATATATATACATATATATATATATATATATATATATATATATATATATATATATATATATATATATATATATATATGTATTTTACAGTGCTTTAAAAATAGTCAGAAATGTCTCCGTCAATGTTTTCACACTGTTTTATTTTGACTTTAAGTCACACAAATGCCAATTTCACATCCGTCACATCCAAAACTGAGAAATGTCACATTCATAACAAAGCTTTTTTCTTATAAATGCAAAAATGTAAGATAAAATAAAATCAATCATGTTTGTTCTATAGTAACTCTTATCCTTTCGATTAGCATTGTTTTTTTGGGTTGCGCAGTCTTTCTACAAAGTATGTTGCATGCTGTAAACTTTTTTCTGTTTTTTTTTGTTGTATGCTGTAAACTTTTTTCTGTTTTTTTTTTGTTGTTGTATGCTGTAAAGTTTGTTTGTCACATCCATAACGCATGTATATTTTTCTCATTTAAAATCTAAAATATGTTTTTTAGATTAATATTTTTGTGATTCCATGACCCTGTGGTTAGTTGTTAGTTGTTTTGGAAAATATAAGCAGATGTTTCAATATAATGATAACATATACTCTCCATGTCAATTTATGTTTTGAGATTTTACTGCAAATGTCACATCCATAACACTGGAATTGCATATATATATATATATATATATATATATATATATATATATATATATATATATATATATATATATATATATATATATATATATATATATATATATATGAGCAATTACATATATACACATATATATATATATACATATATACATATATATATATATATATATATATATATATATATATAACCCTCCAAAACCCATTAAAAGTTAATAGCTGAAAATGTTGTCGCATGAAAGCCCACAAAAAAAAAGATTTATTCCAATAAATCCAGCAACTGAACTTCAAGGTTTATTCTCAAAGACGAAAGAGTATTTTTTCTAAGATTTATTGCACAGTTCCACAATCACTTTCAATAGTAACGCGAATAAAAGCAAGGCACAAGTCTAAATTATTTCTCTCCATCACATCAACATTAGGGCCCCAAATGCTGCCAGCAGAGCTTAACTTTCATTTCTCTTCACCAGCAGAAATCATAAAAAAAAACGCTCTCCAAGAGTTTCATTTAAAAGGACTTGACGGAAACAGCTGGAGAAGTACAAGAGGAAAAAGAAAAGGAGACAGACAGGAAAGGCGAGCGAAAGAGATTTGAAAAGGCTTCACAGGTGAGGTGGGCTGAGGGACACCCTGTCTGTTTGGTCTCTCGCAGAAAGAAGAAGGGCATGTTTATGCAGACGGATTCTCTCTCACACGACTCCCTCTGGCTTCGGCACTCCACATCACTCCACGAGCCTCAGAATCAGGTAGTGTGACCACACAATTGGCCCAGAGGCACGGCTTTCATGAGAGAGAGAGAGTTACAAAAGTGAAGCGCATGCCATGGAGAGAAATCAGACACTCTCAGATTTGGCAGCACGGTTGCTCCGACACACACATTTCAGCCGGAGAGCGACATGTGCCCTGAATGGGGTTGCTCTCGTCCCAACAACAAACACTTTTATCATCTATCAAGGCAGGTAAGCGTGAGACAATTTGATTGTACGGACTTGCGGTTTGTGGCAGGGAAGCCAAATACCAGGCTCTAGTACCTCTGCTTCCGCAGGATCACTTTTCAAACCACGATCAAATTATGGTGAAGAACAAAGCGGTTGGCTTGTATCTTTTGTAGAAGGCTTTTTTTTCCTGTGAATGGAGGCCAGACAAAGCGTTCAAATGGAGAAAGCGTTTCAAAACAGCGCTATCAAAGCGTTGCGGGGGAGAACTCTGTTAACGTATAAGATTTCCTTCTTCTGAGGAAAATAACATTAGCTGTTTATATGAACTATCAAACATAAGAAACACAATGAAATCTTGGACGTCTTGTGAGAAGAATCACTTTTTATTAAACACCCACACACACAAAAATAAGACTAAGCTAATTTAATCTAATTTACATTTAAATGAATCCTTTTTGTGGCCAATTATTCACATAATCTAGAAGTCTTACAACTCCACGGGAGGCCGGAATCCTTCATACTTAGTTGCTTCAAAGCCTCTAAATAAATTGGCTGCAAGAAAACCAACGGCGGCTTCCATTGCATACTTCATGTCATAATCCCAGTTTAGTCAACTCAATTGGAGTTGATGTGACAATTGTCTGAGCATACGCTTCTAATCTGTCTCAGGCTGTTTAATACACATTTCTAATGACAAAATTGGCAGAAATTGACTCACAAATTCATATTCAAACTGCATTCGTAATCCAACCATGTCTATTCTAAACCACAATCTATTTCATGACCACACAGGGGTTGCGAATGTACTCAAGGCGACACACGGGGGGACCTGACAGCATGAGACCAATGCATTGGGCATGATCACCTGCTAGCAAAACTCCAGTTTAACTCCTACCACCTGCACCACGGGGGTCAAACCTGTGTCAGACCTCTCTGATGTCAAAAAAAGAGCGTCTTGTTTCACCATCGTCCCATTACCTGGAACCATTCCAGCACTTACAGCCTCTCCACAATAAACCATGTAGAGCTTTGAGTATCAAACTTGCTGGATACATACTGAAAGACAAAAAAGACCAGGTAGAAGTCGCAGTGAAGGACACTGACTCTCGGCCCATTCAAAAGGCTGATTAGCATAGCACTCCTGCCGGATCAATAACCTCATTGACTCGGTCTGTCTCCTCTATCAGGAATGATGGCAGACTCTCTTTTGTAACTCTATTCTCAAGGCAACAGTCTATTCTCCACAAACCCTCACTCAATTTTTCAAACGGCCCTCGATTTGTTTCCTTCTGTCTCACTGTCTTTGAGAATGTGAGTAAATAAAGCTGTCTGCATGCCACTGAGGAAGATTAGCATGTTAGCTTTTCGCTTTATCTGCTGCTGAATGCCTGGAAGAGAAGAAATGAAGTCTCACCATCATGCTAATTTTACTTTACAAACCTCTTACTATCATGCTTAAGAAAAAGAGGTGCGAATGGAAAAGACAAGGAGCCACTCGACCTCCAATTTGCTCAAAGCATGGCTTTACAATCCATTACCAAACCTTAGCTTAACGGGAATGTGGAAAGTTAGGAATCAATCCCCATCCCTCCCAAAAAAAAATCCTTCTTTCAAATATGGAGACAAAACAATGAAGCGAAAAGATTTGAAGAGGAGAAAGACCACAACCATGAAGAACCAGAACCATGAAGTGAACCTTTGATGGCCTGAACTTTTTTCCAACCATCCATCACATAAAAAAGTCTTAAGTTTAAAATATTCGAACGAAATGAGGGATTGACCAGTGACCTGATCCCAGGAGCTGCTTGGGTTCTGGGGGTTAATGGGGGATAAAGATTAGGAGGAAGTGGGCTTCGCTTCATCTCCGTCCCCAACCACCTTCCCGTTCCAATCCCAAATCAGCCACACAATGAGACCTGCCAATAGAGATGAAGCCCGCTTTCCTTTGATATCCTTCCGAGCACTCGGCTCCGAGTGTCCAGAGCAAAGCTCCATGGAGGTTTCTCTCTACTCCGGGGAGTGGAAGAGCTCTCTCTGAGCCATTTTAGATGGAAATGACAGCCGCTCTACTAGAACAAGAAATCAATTTCCAAAAGCGAAGAACGCAGTAGGCCGTCCATCCGAAGAGTGAGCAATGCTATCCCTCGTCTTTAAACTCGGGTGAGATATGCTTAATTGCTGGAGATTTTATAATGTGTGTGCATTGGCTGTGTGAAGTTGGGCGGCAATTATACTTTTTTTACGCACTAATCAGAGGACTTCTGTTCCAGAACAGATATGCTTTAAGAGTTCATCTTTGAAGATTTAAGTGGATACTCGTCAAATTAAAAACTAATATTCAAATCTCTTTTAGGTGTGGAGAGAGGAGCCGGGTTTTGCTTAGCCTCGTGAGGCAGTGACTTCTGGGGATTTCAGCCCCTGCCTGAAGCCAAGCCACCCAACCTCTTTAGCAAATGCAAACTTTAATCAGCCCTGGACCTCAAAGGCAGAGTAATAGTTTGGAAAGACTCACTGATGGATGCTTCTCTACAGACTTGAGCGCTGAGTTCTGCAAATCGGCAGTAAAGTGTGAGCTGTTATTGCTTGCACTATATGAAACTTTTTTAGCTTGGATTAGAAATATTAATATGAATATTAACGTATAAGTACTGATTGGATGCTATCAAAGCACCCACATTTGAAGTGCCTAGCCAACTTCTGAAGAATAATAAAGACATTTCTCTGCACATCGATTATTACAAAAGACACTTCACTCAAACGATTGATTAGCATCATCATTTACTTACCTTCAGGTTATTGCTAGGCCCACACGGAATCTGCGCGCGTAGAATTCCGCAGATTTTCCGCAGAATTCCGCAGGTTTTTTACTTGAGTAAATGTGTAAATCGGAATTTATTCAGTTTTTATTCAGTAATTTATTACTTTTTATTTAATATATTAAAGTGTAAGTTATGATACTCCGCTGGATACTCCCAAAATAATTCAGCAGAAATCCGCAGATCCGCAGAAAAAGCAAAAACTGTCCGCAGATTCCGTCTGGCCCTAGTTATAGCTATTGTACAATGTAAAACCCAAAAAGTTAAGGTAACTCAAACCATATGAGGAAACCGATTGCAACTAACCATTTAAGTTAAAAACTAATCCTAATGAGTACTGTGAACGTAATCCATTTGAGTAAACGAAGCAATTTGAGCACAGTAAAACCAAATAAATGAAGAGAATCCAAACCATCTGCGTGCTGTAAAACCCAATAAGTTTAGACAACTCAAACCGTTTGCGAAAACCAATTGCTACAAACCATTTGAGTTCACAAACTAATCCAGGGGTCACCAAACTTGTTCCTGAATGTCCGGTGTTCTGGAGATTTAAGCTCCAACCCTAATCAAACACACCTGATCAAGCTAATCAAGGTCTTACTAGGTATACTTGAAACACCCAGGGAGGTGTGTTGAGGCAAGTTGGAGCTAAACCCTGCAGGGACACCGGCCCTCCATGGGCCGAGATTGGTGACCCCTGAAGTAATCTGTAAGAGTACTGTGAACTTATTTAAGTTGAAGTAATGAGGTATTTAATTAACTCATTACACTGAGATCAAAACTCTTTTCAAATGAGTAGAATTAACCTTCAGTAAATTTTGAGTTAACTACACTCACTTCATTTGATTCATTTGACTGTTGGGTGATACACTGTGGCTAAAATCAGAAGCTATACAAACGAATGGCCTAAACTTGCCTCTTCCGGTATATCTCATTTACCCATCGCAACTGTAGACCCCTGTCTGGCAATGTCTACATCACTAATGACAACGACCACCACCTCCGTCACATAATCAGTGGTCACATTCTCACAGACGGCAGGATTCCATATGCGTGTTTTCCACTTACTTGGTGACTAAACCATCATCGAGGCTTCAAGGAAAGGCTGGGGGAGCCAGACAACATGCTTTAAACGTTTACCTGCTGAGTTATGCGGAGCAATACATTTATCTTGC